GCCTCTCACCATCACCCGCCTCTCCCTCTCACATCACCCGCCTCTCCCTCTCACCATCACCCGCCTCTCCCTCTCACCATCACCCCCCTCTCCCTCTTACCATCACCCCCCACTTTAAGCAGCTACCCCATACACATAGTGTACCAGTGAAAAAACGCAAACATGCTCACAGACACACTCTCAGGCACATACACAGGTAAACTGTGCATCAATGTGTATATGTGACAGTGTGCATGTATTGCAACTCTATTTTTTCACTTTTTTGTTAGTGGGGCCTCATGTTTGAGTTTCGCCTAAAGCCTCATGCAAAAGGAGCCCCAGAAGAAAAAGAAGACTGTGTCAAATGAAGGAGAAGAAAATGAGATTGGAACACTTCATTCTGGACACCACATCATAAGGCTTTGGTACCTGGGCCTGGCAGGGAAACTTTGGACCTTCTCATCTCCCCAGATAAAAAAAAAATATCAGTGTTAATGTGTTCACTTTAATTTACTGAGTGTCAGGAAACACAGAGGGCCGCTGGGTAGGAGTGCTGCTGATTGGCTAGAGAGTCAGCTGGCACTCTAAGCCAATCAGTAGCTCCCCATTCATGAAAACGTAAAACATTTTTATGAATCGGGAACTAGCAATTGGCTTAGAGCGTCAGCTGACCACTCTAGCCAATCAGCGGCACCCATGCCTGACGTCAATCTGCACTTCCTGACACTCCGTTTAAGAAGCTGAATACCACTGAGGGACCTGGAGACAGGGGAGGGCTGGCAGCCTTAGGCCTGGGGGGCAAAACCAGTCAAGTGGCCCATTGCACCACCAAATCAGTTCACCATCCATGCCCACCTTTTCCTGGTTTTATAACGGATATTGATGTTATGCTAATCAGTAGCTCTTTGCCATACCGCTCCTTCACGGCTCCAGGCACTGCTTGTTGTGAGTGTGAGCCACTGTAAATTAGGGGCAGAGGGCACTTGCACTGCGGTAAAGATGGGGCTGGACAGGAGGAGAGTGCAGTGCAATCAGTGCACTCCCCTCCTGTGGGTCACCAGGAGACTGGTGCACCTGCCCAGGATCAGTGCCGGTGCAAGGATTTTTGCCGCCCTAGACAAAATAAAAATTTGCTGCCCCCCCATGTGACATCACAATGCCCCACCCATATGAACTAACGCCAGTGCTGCACACAGTGTGTGTTTACATTAAAAGCCTGCAGGGACCAGCTATAGACACCAGAACCACTTCATTAAGCTATAGTGTCCCTTTAATGTGAGGTACATTATAGATTAGTGTCACTAATAATATACTAGATTGCCTACTTACAAGCAGATGAAGATGATGATGGGCTGCAGTTTGGCTCCACTGGTCTGGTGTAGAACAGGATCTCTGGAGGCTGTTTGCAGCTGTGGTCACAAAATTCAATGTTCTGGGAGAATTGGAAGCAGCTCCATTTTTTGAGGCCCCTTACACAGCTCAAGGTCTGGGCCCCAGGGCCTGACGGTGAGTATGCCCATAAGGCCCACTCATAAGTTCCACCCACCCATGAGTTACGCTCTGAGGTAAGGTGGCAGGAATGTGTTATGTGTTATTGTGAAGATCTATGTGTACTTATGGTATATGAGTACTTACCAATTTTATTGCAGAGTGATAGCAGGTAATGTTTGTGTGTAGTGGAAGCAGTGTGTATTGTATAAAGGATGTATTATATGATTTCTGGTTGTGTGTAAGATACATTGTGTGTGTTTGTATGCATAAAAGTTTGCAAAGAGTGTGTCTGTATATTGATGTAAGGAATGCATTGTGTTTCTGTGTGTATGTAAGAAAAGTGTGTGTGTTTGCATATGTGTGAGCAGGTTTGCATTGTCTGTTTCTGTGTATGTGTGCAAAGGATGCATTGTCTTTGTGTGTAAGGGTTGCATTGTGTGTGTGTGTGTGTGTAATGGATGCATTATGTGTTTCTCTGTGTGTAAGGGAAGCATGTTGTGTTTCTGTGTATGTATAGGGATGCATTGTGTGTGTGTGTGTGTGTGCGCGCGTGTTGTGTGAAAGAGCTCCCTGTCTTGGCCCCTGTCCTATAGAGCTGCCCCTTCTGTCCCGTAGAGCTCTCCCCTGCACCTTAGTGGTCTCTCCTCTCCCCCACCCTCCCCTAGCGGTCTTCTCACACTCACCCACCCTCCCTGTGCTCTTCTCATCCTCCCCTCCACCCTCCCTGTGTTCTTCTCACTCCTCCATCTATGTGTTCTCCTCACACCCCCT